GGAGAATGGAGCTGGAAAGCAGGTTAGTGGGGTGGGGAGGGAAAGGGGATTTTGCAGTATCCTATCCCTGCCACGCCTACCAAGCCACGCCCACCAAGCCATGCCCACAGAACCGGTAGTAAAAAAAAATTCAATCCCACCACTAAAGTCTCCAAACTTGGTAACCTTAAGACTCGTAGACTTCAACTCCCAGAATTCCTCAGCCAGCATGACAGCCTTGTTGTGGCCTCAAGCAGGGGGTCTCCAAACTTGGCCACTTTAAGACTTGTGGACTTCAACTCCCAGAATTCCCCAGACAGCCAAGCTGGCTCAGGAGTTCTGGAAGTTTCCACAAGTCTTAAAGTTGCCAAGTTTGAGGACCCTTGGCCTAGATTGTGACAAAACAAATGAGGATTCTGACGGGGAAACATTTCTGAAAGCAGTGCCTCAACCATCTTCTCAACCTCAATGACTTTTTAGATGTATGGACTTCAACTCCCAGAATTCCCAAACTTCCAAGAGGAAGATGAGGACTGTGGGATGCTTGGTGCTCTCTGAGCTTGGTGGTTTCCTTGCAGATGTTTCATTACCCAACTGGGTTACATCACCAGTGCTGTGTTTATAGGATTTACAGAGAGCAAATCCTTCTAGCACTGACAACGTTACTTAGTTTGGTAATGAAATGTCTGCAACAAAACAACCAAGCTTAGGACCAAGGACCCCACAGCCCTCCACCACCACTACACAAATCCCACTCTCTTCTTGCACTGATGATGTTACCTAGCTTGATAATGAGACGTCTGCCAAGAAAACCGCCAAGCTCAGAGAGCACCGAGGATCTCGCTATATGGCTATTGCCACACAAGCTTAGCTTCAGAAGTAGTATTCAGCCAGTTGTGTCCAGTTCTGGGAGAACCGGTAGCGGAAATTCTGAGTAGTCCAGAGAACCGGCCAATCCCACCTCTGACTGGCCCCGCCAACCCCATCTCTTCTCTGCCTCCCGAGTCCCAGATGATCAGCTTGGTCTCCTTTTGTTGCCCTGCCCAGGAGAACGGAGCTGGAAAGCAGGCTAGTGGGGTGGGGAGGGAAAGGGGATTTTGCAGTATCCTTCCCCTGCCACGCCCACCAAGCCACGCCCACAGAACCGGTCATAAAATATTTTGAATCCCACCATGGCCCAGCTTTCCTAGCCCTTTGTCCCTGGATGGGTGTTGCTGTTAGTCCTGCAGAGCACCCCCAAATCAACACTGCCTTTTATGTCGAACCCCCGCGGCTGTTTCTTTTAACGTTTGTCCATCTCAGGTCACATTCCACCAGCAGCCCACATCGCAACCCAAGCCAGCCTTGCCAAAAGAAAATAAATCAATAAAAATAACCCCCCCCCCCCCCCCACACACAAACCCTGGCCCCACGCCCAGGAGTGCAGCAGGCCTGAGCTGGGTTCTTATCAGGCCGGCTGGAGAGGGCTTCCAGCGGCCAGGAAGCTCCTCTCTTCCTGCCAGACAACACACTCGGAGAAGGAGCCGTCTGTGGAAAGAGCACATAAACAGCGCATAAACAGAAGAGAGAGAAGCCAGAGGCCTTCAGCCAGCGCAGGCCATTTGGAACAAACACACCACGCAGGAATGTTGTCTGACCAGGGACTGGTGGCTGGTGTGTGTGTGTGTGTGTGTGTGTGTATGTCTCCTGAGACTTAAACCTGGACTTTTCCGTCCCAGAAACCCGGCTGTGTCTCGAAGCAAAAGTTGCAAAATATTTTGCTCGTGCATAGAAGGCATACGTGATATTCCCAGTGCCCGTGCCTGGGTTCAGCCAGGCCTGCTGTTGTTCATCCACGTCTCCAGAGGGTCATCGGAGCGGAGGGTGGTCACTATGGCTCAACTGCCCCCTCAGGGCTGAATCATGCCCCAGGAGAGCGTAACCCCTTTTGGGCTAACTTTCTGGACATGGGATACCAATTAATTTATCCTTTAGCCAACATTGCCTGGGGCTCTTTTGATTCCTCTTCAACACATCAGACCACTATGGAGCTGCCCATGATACGTTACAGCAGGGGTGTCCCAACTTTGGCCACTTTTAAAGACTTGTGGACTTCAATCCCCAGAATTCCCTAGCCAGCCATGTTGAGAGTTGGAAGTCTGTAGGTCTTCAAAGTGGCTAAGATTGGACACCCCTTCAGTTAATAGTTTACTTTATTGTCATTGCACCTCGTACAACTAAAATTAAATGTCCTCTTCAGTGTACATTATACATAAAAAAATAAAAACACACACCCCTCACATTCTATACAATTGTATTGAAAACCCCTGATATTGCCCTATACACTAGAATTCAATAGAGTTACTGCCCTGGGATAGAAGCTGTTCTTCTGCCTATTTGTCCCTGTTTTTATTATTGTCCTGTACCCTCTGCCAGATGGTAATAGTTCAAAAAAAAGGGGGGGTGCCCAGGATGAGATGGATGTTTTAGGATGTTTTGAACTTTCTTAAGGCAGCGGGAGCTATAAAGCTCTTCCAAAGAGGGGAGAGGGCAACCCATGATACTCTGGGCAATGACCTTCACCCTCTGGAGTGCTGTCCTGTCTGCCCCGGTGCAAATTGGCAAACCAGACACAGGTTGCAGTAAGTTAAAATACTCTCTATGACTCTTCGTGACAGCAACAAGAATTAAGCTGCTGCTCATTGTCTTAACTGTGAAGTTACAGAATGAAAGCTAATTGTGGTTCCTTAAGCCGGCATCCTTCCAATCTGATGCATTGGGACTGTCGCTCTGAATCAGAGGCAGCGTAGGATTGACTATCCTGGTTTATTCAAAGAAGAGGTTGTTGCTTGGGCGTCTTTTCTTGTGCCCGAATTGTTTTAAAAGCACAGCCAGGTCCAATTTGAAACAAGAGAATTCCCGAATTGGCCAGAGCAGAGCGGGCCGTTTTGTATGTACGGGACCAATGTGGTTGAAAAGAGGCAAGATTGGCGCGGTGAATTGGACCAATGTATACAGGTAGTCCTCAACTTACAACCCATTCGTAGAGTGACCATTTGGAGTTACAACGGTACTGGAAAAAAATGATTTAAAACCATTTTTCACACTTAACAACTATGGGTGCAGCATCTTCATAGACACACAGTAAAAATTCGGACACTTGGCAACTGGCTCGTGTTTATGACGGTTGCAGTGTCCTGGGGTCATGTGATCAACTTTGGCGACCGTCTGTGGGGAAGCCAGATTCACTTCACCGCCATGTTACTAACTTTGCAGTGATTCACTCAACAACTGTGGCAGGAAAGGTCGTAAAATGAGGTTAAACGCAAGAACTGCCTGGCTTAGCACTGGAAATTTTGGGCTCACGTGTGGTCGCAAGTCGAGGACTACCTGTATCAAGCCCTCTGCTGCTACAAGAGAGACGTTGTTCTTGCAAGGTGCCTTTGATGGGCTGAATGCTCGTCACTGTGTGTCTGGGTGACGACTGGGGTCTTACAGTCCCAAATTCTGTGGAAGATGGAGGAAGTTGGAGAAGACAGATCGGGTCACACATGAAAAGCCAGCCCGGGGAAAGGCTTAGGTAAAAGATCAAAGCCACATGTGAACCCTGATGGCGCGGTGGTTGGACTGCAGCATTGCAGGCAAACTCTGCCCGACTGCCGGCAGTTCAATCCTGACAGGCTCAAGGTTGACTCAGCCTTCCCTCTTCCTGAAGTCAGTAGAATGAGGACCTGGATTGTTGGCGGGGAGGGAGGGCGTAAAGCACTGCGAAGCGGCCTATAAGTCTGGAGGGCTCTTGCAGCCGTTTTTCCCCCCCCACCCACCGGATTGCCGTCTTGCCTTCCCTCGGAGGCTGGCAGTCGTCCTTGGCCGCTGCTCGCTTTCTCCGGTTGTGGACTGTGGAAAACATCCTCCCTGCCGATGACCTGGGCTTGGCCGCCTGCCGGAGGGGATGTTGGCACAGCGAGGAAGCGTCAACTTGGTGCCGCCACCATCCAGAGTTGGAAAATAGGCTGTCCTTGTGCAGCTGCACTTCCTGTTTACAAGGCTGTTGTAAGCCTAGGTTAACTCTCTGGTGTCCAGCAGTTTGCAGACTGGACGGGCAGGCAGGATTGCCAGCTAGGGCAGGTTTTTATTTTTATTTTTCAAAAGGCAACTGGACGTTCTGGTTTTTCTTTGAAGAAGTCTCGCTTCTCATCCAGGAAGCTTCCCTCAGTTCTGACTGAATGGTGGAGGAGGGAAGGATTTTTATTCCTTGCAGTTCATCTGGTCATTAGCGCTCTTTTGAGAGTCATTGAGGCCGCTTGGAGGTTTATCCTGCACCCTCAGGGTCACCTGAATCCTGTAGTCTGCAATTTTTTTTTCCTTGGAAATCCTTTCATACTCCGACAACCTCCTTCAAATGACAAGTGTGAAAGGATTTCCAGGGGAAAAAAAGAAGAAAAAAATCGCAGACTACAGGATTTGGGTGACCCCCGAGGGCGCAGGTAAACCTCCAAGCAGCCTCAGCAACTCTCAGAAAGTGGGCTAACCACCAGGTGATATGCAAGGACTACAAACCCTTCCACCCTCCACCATTCAGTCAGAACTGAAGCAGCTTCTTGGACGAGGAGCGAAATGTCTTCTAGCAAAGCAGGAAAATCCAGCTCCCTTTTGAAAACAAGCTCCAAGGAGAGCCAAGGTAGCACTCCCAGATTCCTTAACCAAAGAACGAGGATTTAGAAGAATTGCATATTTTGACATATTTGAGTTTTGACCCCAAATCTATAGCCTTAAGTCTATGTTGAGAGTCTTAAGTTTGTACTATCTGTTCTTCTAACATAGAGGTCTCCAACCTTGGCAACTTTAAATCTTGTGGACTTCAACTCCCAGAATTCACCCAGCTGGGCATGGCATGGCCAGCTGGGGCATTCTGGGAGTTGAAGTCCACAAGTCTTAAAGCTGCCATGGTTGGAGACCCCGATCTAAAACACCTGGAGGGCCTCAGCCCCGTTGTTTATTATCTTTAATTCCGAATATAATTGCATTTGTTTATTTTCAAGCAGGGATCGACGATGAAGGCCACCGTGTCTGTCCTCCGTTTACCCCGGGGACCCGATGGGTCAAGCCGCGGTTTTGATCCCAGCTCCCCTCGCTTCCAGGCTCTGGGGCCCAGCAGCCTGCCTTCCGTAGCATACAAGGACCCGGCCGTCCTAGAGGAGGAGCAAGAAGCACGGGTCGCTCTACGGGAACGCTACTTACGCAGCCTCTTGGCCATGGCTGGCCAGCCGGTGAACTTCACCATGTACGAGAAGGTCAACGTCACGGCCTTCTTTGGCGCCTCGGACATCGACATCCTGAACTTCCAGGTTTCCCAGCTTCAGACTCCTCTGGGGGTTCAGAGGGAAGCCCTCCTGCGTTGCTCGGACATTATCGCGTATTCCTTTGAAGCCTGAAGGGCGACCTCTTCAGATAGGAGAGCCTCAGAGGATGGCCGAGACTCAGAGTTGCGTCCGGACATTTGTTGTTGGTTTTGAGTCACAGCTTTTAAAATAAAATGAATCTCGACACCCAGCACAAACGAAGCCACCGGGATTTCTCTGTAAGATCAGAGCAGCTACTCCAGAAACGGGAGGCTGCTAAGAGCTCAGCGATCCGTCTACAGGTAGTCCTCAGCTTATGACCAGTTACTTAGTGACTGTCAAAATTATGACAGATTCCGGAAAAGAGTCTTAAGACCCGGTTTTCACGTGTGAATGTCCCCACCTTGGTGGTCACAGGACCGCATTTTGGGTGCTCGGCAACCAGGCCGCTGTCACAAGACTGCAGTTTACAACGTTTTTGTCTGGAAGGGGCTGTTTGCTTTCAGCTCCTGGCAAAAAAACTCCCTGTGGGAAACAACAGGTTTGTTTTATGGCCGCCTGCCTGCCTGCCTGCCTCACTCTACAACGGCCACCCAAAAATGTAGTAAAATCAGGTCCAGTTATGCGGTGGCCCCCTTACAGCCATCAAAACCTACTGTCAACTCATAAAATCTTTCTCTGGTCTTTGCCAACAGAAAGGGAGAGGCGAGCAGTGCAGCAGCTTGCAAACCGAAACTGCATTCCACAAATGTTTTTGAAGATAGTAACTAAGTGATGGAAGTTTCTGCCGGGCAAAATTCTAACTGGAGACCCTGATTGATGACTCTTGGCTATGGAGGTGTCCCATTGGAGAATATGAATTACGATACACCCAGGGGGTGGGGGTGGTGGGGAAACCAGGGTCAAAGATGATAATGAATTATGTGCCTCAAGAGTCGGCTACACCCAGG